TGCTTCATTTTCTTTATGCAAAAATACACAATGGTGCTAAAGACATTGTTAAAACAAGAGAAAGATTTCTTTAAAGAAAGGATTGTGTTTCCCAATCAGGCATGTCCCTGCATCCCTTTCTTACAGCGAGCTCTTTCATCTCTTCTCAGACTGTCAGGGGTTTACTGCATCTGGCTCCAATGAGCGCTTCCCAAGCAGCATAAAGGAGAGATGAGCAATAGAAATCCTTCAGGGAAAGTGTAGCAGTAATTCCATTTTAAAGCCTAAAGTGAGAAAGATGTCATTTTAGCCTCTCTGCTCTTCTGGGAGAAAAGGGAAAACTCTGGATTTGGCTGAGAAGACAAAAAGGGTTAATTTTGAAACTGAATCACATTCCCTCATGGGTAGTAGGCCAAGAAAAGTACAAATACAAGACAAATCAGAGCAGTGCCAGTTCGTATTTGAGCACTGATTTATGGAGGGTGTATCTGTATAATCTGATCACTGATAATGCGAAGATATTTTAGTAACTTAAATATGGCCCTGTTTCTCACACAAAGCTATTAAATGGCGTCTTGAAGACAAAATGACGGTGAGTTAAGGATGTCAAAATGAAAGAAGATCCATAATACTAATTTTCCTTTTTTTGTTGTTTGGGTTTAAACCAACATTAGACTGTGAGACCTTCCAGACCTCGAGTGGCTTTAATTTGTTGTTTAAATGTTAACACAACCATCAGATGAAAAAAAAAACGAATTATTCGTACACTAGTACAAAGTAATAATAGGAAAACAAACAGCAATTGCTCAACCTGAAGCACAATGAAGCGCAGCAAAATGTTTTCTATTTTCAGCGTGTCCCTTTTTTCCATGCCCTAAGCATGCTGGGCCTTCCTCCCTGACCCCGTGTGCACCAATTAAAAGGCCTCTAGCCGGTAAACCTGTTCTAATGGATGACATATGAACTGACTAATCATGTGGAGAATTGAGTGCCTCCTGTGAGCATGTGTGTGTGTGTGTGTGTGTGTGTACGGGGAGGACTGTCTCCTCTGAACCGCCTCATTATGGTTCCGGCATGTTTGTTTATCAGAGCTCAGCTCCACCACGGCCCCTCAGCCCCAGCCCTGCTCCGGAGATAACGGTAAACGCCCGAACCACCACCACCGCCGCAGCCTCTGCCGTTGTTGATTACACTCACGGTATCTGCCTTCTGAGAGGCCTATTTGAAATTACAAACATTCTCCTCTCACATTTCTCACTTTCTCATTTGAATAAAGAGGACAGACGGGGTAATTAACAGGGTATTAAAAAAAATTGAGAAGGGGGGCAAGTGAGGAAGAAAGAGTGTAAAAGAGGGGGAGAAAAAATAGAGGAGAATGGTGGAGAATAAATGAGAGCAGCCGTCTCTCCTAGGCCTTCTTAATGGGCTGTGACAGGAATTTATTAACAGTTCGAGCAGTGTTCAATCAAAGCGCCTGCCCGGATGAGTTGACAGTGCCTCGACTACAGTGGACCTTTGGATGGCCTCACACATCTGTGGGGTCCTAAGGGGCCCCAGGGACTCTCACACCAAAGCAGTTAGAGAGTCAAGAAGAGGGGAGGGATGACAGGCTTGCAGTAAATTATCCTCTAGAGTCAGATGATGCATATTTCAGACCTGCGTTTGTTTACACTGATGGCTTTTCTTGTGCTTGTTTCTGAAATTTCTGTGCGATTAAAGGGGTCATATGATGTTGCTAAAAAGAACATTATTTGGTGTATTTGGTGTAATGAAATGTGTTTATGCGGTTTAAGATTAAAAAAACACATTATTTTCCACATACTGTACATTATTGTTTCTCCTCTACGCAATAAAACACACAGCGCCTTCACAACATGGCGGCGGCGGTGGCAGCAACAATAAAGTTACGCCTTCTTTCTTTGCGTAAAAATTTGGGCGGCGTTATGCAAATCTTCCCACATCGTGACGTAGACATGTGGGGGCGTGTTTAAACGAGGCGTTTTAGGAGGGCGTGGACGAGTCTTAACTTTTATAAAGAATATCTCTTTGGGTTTGAGACTTTAGTTTTGCAACTTTAGGGATCTTATCTATTCACAAACAGCTTGTAACATTCAAAAGAGAAAGGAAAACTTGAAATCGCATCATATGACCCCTTTAAAATACGATTACACCTCTGAGATTTTGGCGATGGAAAAGCAAAGCCAAAATCGTTCTGTTATGCCACTAATGAAAGGTACAATAAAACTCTGCGAAGACAGATCGGTCACGGTGATGAAGGCCACTCAAGATTGCAGGAGCATTATTCAGCCAGGGCCCTGACAAACAGCAATTACCCCAATCGACAGATAACGAGAGCAGGGTGATCATTCAGTGACGGGATGTCCCATAAAGCAGCGGGGCATTACCATACTCGTGCTATACATCTCTCCACCACTTCACCAACTTGTTGGAGCTCCAACAGTGATGAAGGATTCAGTAAATCAAGCCTGAGCTCCTTTGGCACGGCAAACGGCGGCACTCAATCAACAGGACAATGGCATGACTCAATTAAAATGCGCAACCTAGCCTGCAATGGGATGAGTCAGAAAGACTCAACAAACTGACCTGAGTGCTAATTTTCAATCATCCATGGCCTCATTACTTTCATGCAAGCGTCCATTTGCTCATTCAAGCTGATGTCTATCTGCCGGTTCATCCATCAGTCCATTCATTACTATACCATTCTCTGCATTCATCCATCTATCTGTCCTTCCATCATCCTTCATACAGACAGACAGACAGACAGACAGACAGAGAGATAGATAGATAGATAGATAGATAGATAGATAGATAGATAGACAGATAGATAGATAGATATCTAAACAAAAACAATAAAAAAACAATTCCTAAAAAAACATGAAATATTTTATTTGTTCACTTGCATGTCATGTGATTATTAGCCAACATCAGAGATCCTTGAACATGCAAATGCTGCACAGGCAGATGATGGAGAGCTGTAACACATCTGCTCTCTACATTCTGATGCAACCTTGACCTCCCCTGAGTTTGACATCCTTCATTCCCCCAACATGGTCGCTTCATTCAGCGTGTTATTTGCAGCTGGCTATTTGGCCAGCGAAAAGCTCCAGGGCCCTTGTCACATGAGCATTTCCACACTGACTGCCTTTCATGAGCATGCTGCAGTTTTTAATAAGGCAGACTCAATGGCAGAGAGGGGCACAGAAAAAAATCTGATAATTTTGCTTTTACTGCAAGAAAGTCATGAAATCCTCGGTAGAGAGCCATCAGGTCGGTTTTCAAATACTATGGCTTCATTATGCGAGTGAATATGGCAGATATCTCATTGCTTGCCAAGTTAAAGGACACTGTAAACATATTCTAAACAAGATATCTGCAGGCAGTGAAGTGGCCTGTTTTGGCTTTATATACTGTACAGTGCACCACAGTTTGGGGTCGGTAAGATTTTGGAAAATGTTTTTCAAAGATATCTCTCAGGCTGCATTTATTTAATCAAAAATACTGTAAAAACAGTGACATTGTGAAATTTTATTATAATTTAAAATAACTGTTTCCTATTTTAACATATTTTTAAACATAATTTATTATTTTGATGGCAAAGCTGAATTTTCCAGATTCAACCATTACTCCAGTCTATAAAGGGGTCATCTGATGCCCATTTTCCACAAGTTGACATGATTCTTTAGGGTCTTAATGAAAAGTCTGTAACATAGTTTGGTTAAAATTTCTCAACTGTAGTGAAAAACAACACAGTTTTTACCCTGTCAAAAAACAGCTCTTTTCAGAGCATGCAGTTTTGTAGCATTTTCCTTTAAATGTTAATGAGCTCTGCTGCCCCCGCCCCTCTCTTCCAAGCCGCTCTCTGAGAGACTGTAAACTTTAGCCGCATTCATCGTGAAACTCTCTAACTAGCACATTATTAGGAAAGGGCGATTTGCAAAGATTCATTAAAAAAACCTTACACTCACTTCTTCTGTAGGTGAAGCTGGATCACGAATGATTTGTGCGAAGATATACGCATTTAGGTGGATCGGGGCGCATTCCCTTCAGAAACAAATGTAATCCTCTGCGTCTTCAGCGGCTCAGATTTCGGGAGTAAATGACGACTGCTATGTTCATTATTACATCCAACAACAAAACACCTAAATCGCTATGGAGACATTCTTGTCTACATCTGCTCCGGCAGTGAAACAATGGCGGACCGATGACAGCTCATTCAGGGCGGGTCTAAGGTAAGATGCCAGTCTAGTCTGTGCTGAAACGCTACGGTCAATCAAACAAATGTGGGAGGGCCGGATCTGTGTGACGTCTCACAGACAGGCATCTGAGATCGGCTCGATTTGAGAAAGGGGAAATGATTTAACGAGATAAAAAAAAAAAACACTGGGTGGACCTTTATCATTATAGGGTGGTTGTGTACACACACTTCCAACACACATTTCAGTTCAAACAGCTTGTAAAAGTGCATGTCGCATCCGATGACCCCTTTAAAGTCACATGGTCCTTCAGAAATCATTCTTATATGATGATTTAGTGTTCAAGTGTTCATTTAGTGTTCATTTTTTCATTATTATTATCAATGTTGGAAACAGTTGCTTAATATTTTTGTGGAAACCATGATATGTTTTTTTTTCAGGATTCTTTGATTAATAGAAAGTTCTACAACATTTTAACAACATTTATTTGAAATAATGTTTTGTAATAATGTAAAAGTGTTGTTTACTGTCAAAAGACTTTTGATCAACTTGATGCATCCTTGCTGAATTCAAGTATTAATGTATAGATGTAGTTATATGTGTAGTTGCAGTGTGTATACACTGCCAACAATTTTGTATTTTGTATAAAATGTATTATTTTACCATTTGATTTAGGAGTGTTCCTTTGTCAGTGGATTCGATTCACAGAGAATGCATGACCTCATAAATATATACCTTAAATACAACTAATTTGCTTTGGATAAAAGCATCTGTCAAATGTAAAATGTCCAAAAATAAGGTTCTAACCTTATTAACTTCCAGTACTTCTCTTCTCTCTTCGCTGGCTGCACGCATTTGATTGGCCATTCGGTCATCCAGTTTAGAACTGTCATCCTCTACATAGGGGATAAGTTGCTGAAAAACAAAGACAGAATAAAATTACCACATAGTGACTTTTTGATTACTTCAATTACTGTTATGCACTCGTTTTTGTTTGGCACTGATGGCACTACAGAAACATACTCCGTTCCAAGCCTTTCACTACCAACCATCCGGAGGTGTAATGTCAAAAACAGCAGCCAGGAAAAATATAGAGCCCATTTCACACTTCAAAAAAAGAATCAGGCACTGGTAAAAGATCTACTAAATGTTGTTTTTTATTTGTCTTTTAAAGCAATTTAAAGCAACTGCATGTAAGAGTATTTACCTTGAAACATCAGTTTCATAATCATTCTGATGGTACACTGACTTCTAATAAGTCGAACGGCTTCTGTTTCTTTCCTACACTCCTTCCCAAACAGCTGTTGTGGGAGTATGCAAGTTTGATGAGTGGGTACAAAATTCAGCGAAAAGCGCAGATTGCTTTATGGCAGCAACAAATGCACACATACAGCTAGCCACTGTAATTACCACAGTGACATACATTCATCGGCCACGTTATTAGGTACACCTGTTCAACTATCACATGACAGCAACTCAATGCATTTAGGCACACAGATATAGTCAAGACAAGCTGAAGTTCAAACCGAGCATCCGAACCGAGCATGTTGGTGCCAGATAGGCTCATCTGAGTATTTCAGAAACTGCTGATCTCCTAGGATTTTTACATACAACTCTACATCTCTAGGGTTTACAGAGAATTGTCCAAAAAAGAGAAAACATCTAGTAAGCAGCAGTTCTGTGGGCGAAAATTCCAGAGGTCAGAAGAGACTGGCCAGACTTGTTTGAGCTGATAGAAAGGCAACCGTAACGCAACTAACCATTCATTACAACTGAGGTATGCAGAGGAGCATCTCTGAATGCACAACACATTGAACATTGAAGTAGATGGGCTACAGCAGCAGAAGACCACCCTGGGTGCCACTCCTGTCAGCTAAGTCAACTTTTAGCATTCATTCATTCATTCATTTACTTATTTTTCACTTTTTATATCCAAAGGGTCTTACAATCCTATTATTACAGGGACAGTCCCTCTGGAAAAAC